GTGAGTGAGCTTTCAGAATGCAGGCGTTAATCAGTGGTTTCATTTAATTTCTGCTCTTTTGACTGGGGGATTTTAATTGGGAACAAATGAGGAAAGAAAAAAATGACTAAACCCTCAAGTCAGAGGTGTTGGAGTTTGCGGTTGAAACACGGTGTCACTGGAAGCTTTAGACATTGTGGATTTAAAGAGGGGGGAGCATGACTGCCAAAAAGTTGGTCAGATGGAGGGAAAACTAGCTGAGGAGAAGACGCCGTTGGTGCAGTGGGAAGGAGGAAATCGTCAAGATGTATAGGTACTTTTTGGCTTCGGATGCAACACATTAATCACTGATAAAATTTTGTCTAACTTGACATTAATATTACCAAGCTGTTCCTGGCATCCACAAAATCTAGGTTCTCTTTGAACACCAACTTCTTTCCCTTCTCCTTTCGCATAGTCAATCAATGCTTTTGAACTTTTGCTTGTTCAGTTGGGTGGACTTACTTATGGAAGGACAAGCGAATACCATCTTTTAAACTCTCACGTCTGGCCTTGCAGTTATACGTTGAACACGATTCAGGCCGAAATTTAAGCATTCTTTTCGATAAAAACTTCCAGATATTTTAGAATAGAATACCCTAGAGTTGTCACACGAAAATATTTTAATTTGATCGAAATAACACTTAAAGAACAAAATAAACAGTAGTAGCTTTTGGAATAGTTAGATAGTATCACGTTACTTGGGAAAAAACTCTGAAGAAGATAAAAGAAGAAGGAATAAAAGACTGAAGGAATAAACAGAAGAAAAAAACAAGGACAAAAAGCGCGCGCAACTGCTGGCCGTGCCCATTCTTGCCTGGTTGAATTGCTATTTGGAAATTGCACTAATTGTAATAAATATTCATCTAAAACCTTCACACCAGCTAGTTCTTCCAAAAATAAAGTAATCAAACGGGATCGGAAGCTATAGGACGACGGAAAATGAAAAAAAAACCATGGTTTTTCCCTATGTCGCTCTATGATTTTCGCCCGGTTGAGCCGCCATCTTGGATTCCAAAAATTTGACACGCCGGTTGAGCCGAGTCATCAATCTAGGTCTCCTATATCTATGGTTTGAAACATGAGCGATTAACGGCAAAAGTTACGGGAGCTCCTGGTCACGCGATTTCTAGCGGTTAGTGGTTACACGCTTGCGAAATATACGTCAACCTTAAGGTCTCTATTATCTGCAAACATAGACATATGGACGACGTTATTGCTGAAATTCGCAAACCATGTACAAATTCTCTTTTTTCTTTAATGCTCAAATTTTTGGCACATGCTCAGACAATATTCTCATCTGTTGGTCTATATTCAGTCTCGTATGTAAAGATACCGTTCCTGCGTTAAATTAAGTACCCGCGCGCGCCTACTATAGCGGTTAGTTAACTCATTAACTGCAGGTCAGCTAAATATAGGTCAAGCGTGTTTGCCCTGTTAGCTTGCTAATAACTGAAAGATATAATGCAGTATATAAATTGTAATTACCTAAGTCACGAAAGACGTATTCCCGTGCAGTGACGTTGAATGTAATTTTGTCTTGAGATGAACCTGATAGTCCAATTACCAAACCTGTGTCTTCAGGATCAGAATCGTACTTCCAAGAAATTTTAACTGAACGTTTCTTTGGAATAGCGATTATCTCGTATAGTTCTTTCAAAACACCAAAGCCCAAACCGAAATGACAGTCTGGAAAGCAGAATTAAAATCACATTTTGGCTAGCAAATATTTAATATGAAAGTCATGTATTTAGAGAGAGACGCACACGCTGATATATGCATATATACATAGCTATATACATACACATATACATATACGGCTCTTTCAATTAAAACTGTCCCCGAGCAAAGTGGAAAAGTCGAATACAAGCGCGAAAGGCTTGCTGGGAATCACTATAGCCGAACGGAAATCGGTTTGCTTTAGTTAATGGTGATCTACACTATTAAAATGGTGCCTTGTTTTTTTCTTCTGGTTTACAACGTTAAAATCTCGATATTACCAGTTAAGTAACAACAAGCACAACCTGGGTCATATGCAACAACTTTTCAATATAACGACTTTTCATATGTAACGGCACGTTTTGTAGTAAGGTATGAAAGTACTATCATGTTCCGAAACCATTGAATATGATTTAGTGCCACCGATCAATTTTCTGTGGCAGATTCAAAAAAGGTACTTGTACGATGTGCCGATGTCCAACTCGGGCCAAAAAAAGAAAAAAAAGGTACAAGAGCGTTGAAATATTCCCTAAATCAATCTTCTCTTTGACACCGAACGCTTTGTGTAAGCCTACATGAAATAGTTAAGAATACTTGAAGTAATGTGTGTAAAATTCTGGAAATGAAATAAGCATGCACACAGCCTCAAATAAAGCCTTCAAAACTGCCAAAACTTGAAAAACAACTGTATAAAATTTTCCGTGAAAGTTATCGATGATGAATTCTTAAAACGCCCTGGTAGAGCTCAAGTAATACAGGCTAGAGTATATTTAGGTTACACAATAAAATAAAACTTTTATTATCTTGGTCCTTGGGAAACTTACTGAATGTTGGATTGTAAGAAATTGGTAGCGGTTCCGATATTTCGGTTGGACAACATTTGTTTTCGGCAATACATTTGTAGGTATACGATAGATTTAAAGGGTTTGGTCTATACACCAATTTAGCTTGCCATATTCCACGACTATGATGATCCAGGCTAGTTGTATTTAAAATGATACTGTTGCCATTGTCGTCTGTTCTGTTCCAAAAAACACGTGTTAAGTTGCCTCCTTCCCCTGTGCAAAGAATTCCGACTTTACCATAGCCATAATATGTATGTGAAAACTTGTCGTCTGGTCTGATGCCTTGGATAACAATTTCTGGCCCTAGAAGATATACAGTTAATTAAGGACAATTGAAATAGTATATGCCTACGGCTTGGAGTTGAGGGGAAGCGAATAAAAAGGATGAAATAATAAATTTTTACTCTAGAATTAGCTACAAACATGGAGTAAAATGAAGCTCAAAATAATACGACAGCAGTTAAATTAACTTATTCGCTTGCTATTTATCCATAATTCAGTTGTTATAACTAAGGAGGGATTATTAACAGCAACAATGCAACATAGATCGGTTACCTTGTTAGTTTTGCGGCTTCAGGTTACCGAACTAAGCGAATCGCGCGAAGTGAAGGGAAAGAAAATTTCGGCAATGTAATGAGCCACTTGCCATATAGTGATGCCTGCTAGGCATGGTGGTAGGAGTCGTCACTTTGCAATCGAATGACATGGCGATCGTGGGGGCGAGCGATTTTGTTTTGATGATGAAATGCCGGATTTTTAAAAAAATTGTTTGCATTCATCGATAACTTTTACAGTGGCGTAGCCAGGATTTCCGTCCAAGGGGGCCCCAAAATATAAGGGGGCGGGGATACCTCAAACAAGATAAAAACTGAAAAGAAAGAAACAAAGTACGTATACACATAGGCGCACCCAATAATTTTGTTTAATTGTAAAACTGAAAATACAACAAACGTTAAATTGAACAAAGGTATTAAGTGGCAGTCCCGCTAAGAGCGGTCCGATGACTTTGACTTCGGAAAATAGATTTCCTTTATTTTTTGTGTGTTGAAAAGCATTGGTATACAAGTGTCCAAAATAAATTTATTTTTTGAAAATTCTTTTTTATGGCTTCGCTAGACGCCGAAACTCATTTTACCCGTGCAGAGCCAA